CGTCTGAATTTGAACAGTGATCTCTCTCGGCTGTCCTGGCACCATTCGGATTTTCATAAGCCGCGTGTCCTGGCAAAATTCAGATAAGATGGAAGTGAACAGTACTCTCTCATATCTGGCTATGAAAAGGAAAAAAAAGAGGCAGATCATTGTGGCCCAAGCAGATCACTCACCGTACTGTAGTAACTTAGATATTGTGATGAGATGAGCTTTTGTGGGGGGCTAGCGATGATGATTGCTAGAAGGCTGGCCATGCCATTTTGATTACAATCGCATTTGCAGAGACGGAATAAAGGGTTCCTGATCGATCTCTTTACCTCTCCTTTTCGAATGATACGATTGGCCACGCATGACAGGAAGCCGTATGTAGGTGTATAGATAGATGTGCGTACCCCTTTTCTCCCGACACCTCTCATGGTCGAATCATATCTGACATGACAAAATTGATGAATCGATCGGCTCAATCATTCCCCGAGAGATGAAAAATGTGAAATTGTGGTAGTTTCGTCGTGTAATATATCAACTCATTTAACTGCAAATTTAACTTGCATTTTGCTCAAAATCCTTGTGTGTTGATCAAAACAACTCTTTGTCAAACAATTAGCAGAGAGAGCTTCCATTCTCTCCGAGACAAGTTACAGGAAGCAAAGTTCACCATGTTTATTATCTCCTGGCCTTCTTTACTCTATCATACTAGAGATATTACTTTATCTTTTTAATTAGTACTTTGTTATCATGCTTAGAATATTCTGGACGGTTTAAGGATCCCAGCTAGTTTAGTACCACCAGTTTGAGACTTTGCGTTTTTAATAAAGCTGGATGCTAATCCATGCGTGATCTGCGCCTTTACGGCGAGGGACAAGCGGCGATCGCACTAGCCCGTCTCCCCATCCTGAATCAACGGCTCCAGCTGCATGCCTTCCCAAACAGAAACCTACAAAGAGGACACACGTCACACAACCCAAATTATTAATGATCTGGTTAGTAAATTGGTTATATCAATTACATGATATTTTTTGCTTAGTTAATAGCTACAGCTTGTCCAAGCTCGGATTAGGACCTTTTAAGAATGCTCGTATGAAATTAAAACAGCCAAATTACTCCTAATGAATTTGAAGAATTTCACTGTAATATTACACATTTCTCAAAGGAACAAAATAAAGAGCATAAGAAAGAGATAATAATTCGATGCGTATCTATCAGGTCAAGTAACGGCCATGATAGGAATGTACGGATGTCACATTGGTGATCGATTTGGAGGTATATTTATATAGTTAGTTGCCGGTGGTTAGCATAAATGGATATATGCTAGATGAATATTTGCTTTGCTAAGCTAATTGCTTCCAACCCAACCGATGCATGTGGAATTCAAATGACACCTCCACGAAGCTGACCGTCCACCCACCCACCAGCAGCAACATAAAAACCTGTTCTGGCACTGCTAGGTTGCTAGTTCCTCCGGTATTGTCTTTTCGAATAGCTGATTAAGCCAATACATGATGATTCTCTCTGCTACTAGCAAACAACGAGTAACAAGTAACCCACTGTACAAGTTAAATTTACCTGGAGAATCAATAAAAAAATACATACAATAAATTTTTTAAAAATATTTCCAAAAACGCATTTCAAAATAGTAAGGAAAAAAATGTTGTTTAGTTTTTTTCTTCAAAATGGCTCTCGGCACCATAGCTGAAAGCTTGCCGCAACATATTTGTTTTGTACAACAAACACTGCCACGGTATTGGTATCGTTATCGTGCTTTTTTTACGTAATGATAAAATCTGCCCTTTGCTTCAATAGGAGCTGCAACCATATAGTTATTGTTCCTGATATATGGCAAAAAGAAAAATCAGATTTGGAAATAACCATTTGTTCTTTTAAAAGAAGGCACAAAAATGTGAAAAAGAAAAAAAATACCCTTAAAGGATCGTTTTAAGTTGTTAGTTCTCGGATGTTCACGTGCTTAATTACCACTGATTTTCTAATTAATTACCACCTGCTGGGAAGGGGGGGAAAAAACTTCATGTACGTACACGCGTACCTTCGGCGAAAATCCATGTGTTATGTGCGACACAATCCTAGTTGTACAGTGACAAATATTCTCCCAAATCATCACCTGCACATTCATCCAATCTGCCAATTGGTTCCCAACTTCTGCTGTGCTACCGACCGTGGCACCGTGCCATACACACCCCATGTGATCGGAATATACGCAGACATATATCATACTGTGTACATATGTATCTACCGGCCGGCCATGTGGATTATGGGATTGCGAATGGAATTATGTGATTTAGTGCCGTGTTTTCAGTTAACACCCTGCTCTGTCACTATATTATTGCCGAATATTCTGGTTATAATTAGGATTAGGGGATTAATAATCCTGTGGCTGGCGCAGAGAGAGAGAGAGAGAGAGAAGGGTACACCTCCAACAAACGGATGATGTTAGAAAGCATGGCGGGAAGAGGCAATAATTTTTTTATTTTTTTTAGTTTTATTAATAGATCTTTCCAAAAAATATTTTTAAGTCTGAAACTTTTGGCCACGCCAGCCCGCCTGTCGTGGCCAAATAACTTTGTCACGCCACCGTGGCTGGCGTGGCAGTGGCAAAATGTTCATTTTTCAGAAATATCTATTAGTATCTACTATTATAAAAATTGAAGATGTTTTTTGCTGGTATTTTGGTACGTTATCAATGTATGAGTTGGTTTTAAGTTCGTTCGTTTTTGGAAATACATATCCGTATTTGAGTCGGTTTTTAAGTTCATTCGTTTTTGAAAATACATATCCGTACTTGAGTTGGTTTTTAAGTTTGTTCGCTTTTGAAAATACAAAAGGAATTGTATAGAAAATCGCTTTAAAAAATCTCGCATCCTAACTTGAGACGATCGAACTCCTAATTGCAGCTCATGATTTTCTATCAAAATATATATCCAAGCGAATTTAACAGTGAATTTCATCTTATCTAAACCATATAATAATGATAAGATTAAAATAGCCTTCACCTGTGCAATGCACGGGTATTTTCTTCTAGTAAAATTAAAAAAAAATCAAGAGGCAACAAGGAAGGAGGCAATTTGATTGTACAGGATGTCAATTATTCAGCCGCCCAGGAGATGAAGACAGATGTTAGAATCCATAGACTGTGGTAATGCAAAAGGTGATGTGTATGGCTGTACATACTAGTAGCAGATAGCTGACATGTTGAAATATAGTGATGTGTATGGCTGTACATAGCTGATACTCCAGCTGACATGTATAGCATTCTGCCCTAATCCCTCCGTAAAAAAAAACCAATATAGGATTAGATATGTCACATCTAGTTTCTTTTTTTTTTTTTGGACGGATAGAATACTAGTAATTGTTTGAGCCACCATTTTGAATTTTACTGCTCATTTATCTCTTTTTATTTTCCATGGAAAAAAATCGGACTACTACAAATAAAAGTATAAAGATGGAATCTCGAAACAATTTTTGATTTCTGCAGTAACTTATAAGTGACAATCACCACAACCGTATTAGTAACCGTTCCTAACATGATACTTTTACCTCGTCGACAACAAATTGGAACTATCGTACCCGGCATGTTCGGTTGCCATACTATAGTTCTATACAAGTACTGTACTAGTACAGCGCCAACTGTCCGTACACCCGCCGTGTCCGACCACCGTACAAAGTACAACGCCGATGCCCGGAGAGAAGCGATCGAGAGGAAACAAACCCACCGGGACCAACCGACCGACCAAGCAAGCAAGCGCCCAAACGGTTGGGTTGGGTTGGGGCGTTTGGGTACGTGATGCCCTGATTCCGAAGCCACCTTGCAGCAGCACGCTCCCATTGAAATCGACCGAGGATTAATTCCGTTCCGTCGAGGTGGTACGCATCAACGCATGGATAGGATGGAGATGGACCAGCCTCGCTAGCCGCATGCGCATGCAGATGCAGTGCAGTGCAGTGCAGGCCTCCTCCTCCTCAAAACATACCTTTCCTTTCCATCCGGCCGCCCACGCAAACCCTCCTCTGCACATGCGAATATGTGTGTGCACTGTACAGTTACCGGTTTTTTCTTTCTTTTTTGATGCAATTATGCAGAGGGTAGTCGTTGTTACTGCACATATTGTCGTTTTCTGTTAATTCTGGAAATGGGTAGAAGATAATGTTTCTTTTGGATACTGACGTGCAAATTGATAGCATGCATGGATAATCACTTGTGCTGATTCTCACTCCCACTTGTAACTTTGATCTTGATCGGTAGCGAAGTTTGTAAATATTACTAGACCTCTTCATATTTGAGCCATTTGATTATTCTCTTTTTTTGGAGAGGAATATTTTTATACAAGAGTAAATTTTAGAGAAGTGTAAATTTTAATGTAACCTATCGGTTTGCTATAATCACTAGAGATCCAATATGTACAATGACAACATTCGAAATTATCAAAGAAATATAATTTCGTTAGCGCCCTTATCATTATTTGATAAACCGAGCCTCATATCACACATACTTTACTAGATGTAGTGTTACAGTATGCCACGTCATCATGCTACGCTATTGTTTGTATGCGGGCACAATGTTGGATGACACAACAACATGTAAGGTTAGAAACGATATGTTTTATGTACATGCACATATTTTGTGTAATTAAAAAATACTAGTTTGTAAAATGTAAACGTGAAGGAAAACCATAGCACAAAATTATGTTTCCTAAACGTAAAAGTCAAGAGGTAAACTTGTTCAAAAACTTCCGCGACAATTCAGTACTACAGTACGATCATCCTCCACGGTTGAGTGACTTGAATCCGCGGCGGTTTGATCGCTACAGAAGCAACCGGGCCCACAACCCAGTGGCTCAACACACAGCCAAAAGCAGCCGTACCGCAACCAGAGCCCCAACACAACAGGTCAAACCTTGGTCTCCCCCATGTTTCACCGATCCCATTAATCTATTCTTCTCGTAAAAAGTAAAAAAAAAAATTGTTTCGACCCATCCACTCCCACTCTCTACTCAGCTCATCAGCTACTCTACTCTCCCACTTGCTTCCGCTGCTTCTCCTCTCCATAAGAGCACCCACCAACTCAGCCTCTCCTCCCATCGCCGCCGCCAATGCCGGCCTCCACGGCCTCGCCACCGCCGCACCTCGTCTGAACCCCCGTCTTGCTGCCGCCGGAAACCGCGTCGAGAAGTTAACCATGGGGTCTGGCTCACTCCTCCTCTCCCTCTTGCTGGTGCTCGTCGTCGTCAATGTCGGGGTGGCGGTGAACCAGGACGGGCTGTCCCTGCTCGACGCGAGGCGCGCGCTCGCCGCCCCGGATGGCGCGCTGGCGGACTGGAACGCGCGCGACGCCACGCCCTGCAGCTGGACGGGCGTCTCCTGCGACGCCGGCGTCGGCGGCGGCGCCGTGACGGGGATCTCCCTCGCGGGCCTCAACCTCACCGGGTCGTTCCCGGCGGCGTTGTGCCGCCTCCCGCGCGTCGCGAGCATCGACCTGAGCTACAACTACATCGGCCCCAACCTGAGCTCCGACGCCGTCGCGCCGTGCAAGGCGCTCCGGCGGCTCGACCTGTCGATGAACGCGCTCGTCGGCCCGCTCCCCGACGCGCTCGCGGCCCTCCCGGAGCTCGTGTACCTCAAGCTCGACAGCAACAACTTCTCCGGCCCGATACCGGAGTCGTTCGGCCGGTTCAAGAAGCTCGAGTCGCTCTCCCTCGTCTACAACCTGCTCGGCGGCGAGGTCCCGCCGTTCCTCGGCGGCGTGTCCACGCTCCGGGAGCTCAACCTGTCCTACAACCCGTTCGTGGCGGGGCCCGTGCCCGCCGAGCTCGGCAACCTCTCCGCTCTGCGCGTGCTCTGGCTCGCCGGCTGCAACCTCATCGGCGCCATCCCGGCGTCTCTCGGCAGGCTCGGCAACCTCACGGACCTCGACTTGTCGACGAACGCGCTCACCGGCTCGATACCGCCGGAGATTACGCGGCTGACGAGCGTCGTGCAGATCGAGCTGTACAACAACTCGCTCACTGGGCCGATTCCCGTGGGGTTCGGCAAGCTCGCGGAGCTCCAGGGCGTGGACCTCGCCATGAACAGGCTCAACGGCGCCATCCCGGATGACTTCTTCGAGGCGCCGAAGCTGGAGAGCGTGCACCTGTACGCCAACTCGCTGACGGGGCCCGTGCCGGAGTCGGTGGCGAAGGCGGCGTCGCTCGTCGAGCTGCGGCTGTTCGCCAACCGGCTGAACGGCACGCTGCCGGCCGACCTCGGCAAGAACAGCCCTCTGGTGTGCGTGGACATGTCCGACAACTCCATCTCCGGCGAGATCCCGCCGGCGATATGCGACCGCGGCGAGCTCGAGGAGCTTCTTATGCTCGACAATAAGCTCTCCGGTCGCATCCCCGACGGGCTCGGGCGTTGCCGGAGGCTGCGGCGGGTGCGGCTGTCGAACAACAGGCTCGACGGCGACGTGCCCGCCGCGGTCTGGGGCCTGCCGCACATGTCGCTGCTCGAGCTCAACGACAACCAGCTCACCGGAGTGATCTCTCCGGTCATCGGCGGCGCGGCCAACCTGTCCAAGCTGGTGCTGTCCAATAACCGGCTAACTGGTAGCATCCCGCCGGAAATTGGCTCGGCCTCGAAGCTGTACGAGCTCTCCGCCGACGGCAACATGCTCTCCGGCCCGCTCCCTGGGTCTCTTGGCGGCCTCGAAGAGCTCGGCCGGCTTGTTCTCCGGAACAACTCGTTGTCAGGTCAGCTGCTCCGGGGAATCAATTCTTGGAAGAAGCTTAGTGAGCTCAACCTCGCCGACAATGGCTTTACCGGAGCAATTCCAGCAGAGCTCGGCGATTTGCCGGTGCTGAACTACCTTGACCTCTCCGGCAACCGTCTCACCGGTGAGGTACCAATGCAATTGGAGAATCTGAAGCTGAACCAGTTCAATGTCTCCAATAACCAGCTCAGTGGCGCGCTTCCGCCACAGTATGCGACGGCGGCATATCGAAGCAGCTTCTTGGGCAACCCGGGGTTATGTGGAGATAATGCCGGTCTATGTGCCAATTCACAGGGAGGTCCTAGATCCCGCGCTGGCTTCGCCTGGATGATGCGCTCAATTTTCATATTTGCGGCTGTTGTTCTGGTTGCTGGAGTTGCGTGGTTCTACTGGAGGTACCGGAGCTTCAACAATTCTAAGCTAAGTGCCGACCGTTCGAAATGGTCATTGACATCATTCCACAAGCTCTCATTCAGCGAGTATGAGATCCTGGATTGTCTTGATGAGGATAATGTGATTGGTAGTGGCGCATCCGGGAAAGTGTATAAGGCAGTGCTCAGCAATGGTGAGGTGGTTGCCGTTAAGAAGCTTTGGGGGTTAAAGAAGGGGACGGATGTTGAGAACGGGGGTGAAGGATCCACAGCTGACAACAGCTTTGAGGCGGAGGTGAAGACTCTTGGCAAGATTCGCCACAAGAACATTGTCAAGCTCTGGTGTAGCTGCACGCACAATGACACCAAGTTGCTGGTGTACGAGTACATGCCCAATGGTAGCCTAGGAGATGTGCTACACAGCAGCAAGGCTGGTTTGCTGGATTGGTCGACGCGGTACAAGATTGCTCTGGATGCAGCGGAGGGGTTATCCTATCTTCACCATGACTACGTCCCTGCGATCGTCCATAGGGATGTCAAGTCGAACAACATCCTCTTGGATGCTGAATTCGGTGCCCGTGTTGCAGACTTTGGGGTTGCCAAAGTGGTAGAAGCCACTGTCCGGGGCCCCAAGTCGATGTCAGTGATCGCGGGTTCATGTGGTTACATTGCACCTGGTAAGTCTCACTAATTATTTTAGATGTAAGTTTCAGTTAGTCCTTTAGAATTGTGAATCTGATGTACTTGTTTTGTGCAGAGTATGCATACACACTCCGCGTCAATGAGAAGAGCGACATATACAGCTTCGGAGTGGTTCTTCTTGAGCTCGTGACAGGGAAACCGCCAGTCGATCCAGAGTTCGGCGAGAAGGACCTGGTGAAGTGGGTGTGCAGCACAATTGATCAGAAGGGGGTAGAACATGTCCTCGACAGCAAACTCGACATGACCTTCAAGGATGAGATCAACAGGGTGCTGAACATCGCCCTCCTCTGCTCGAGCTCCCTACCGATCAACCGCCCGGCGATGCGCAGGGTGGTCAAGATGCTGCAAGAAGTGCGCGCCGAGGCCACAAGGCCAAGGCTGGAGAAGGACGGCAAGCTGTCGCCATACTACTACGAGGACACCTCCGATCAAGGGAGCAGCGTGTAAAGGTAAAAACCCCCAAAAGAGAAGAAGATGACAATAGGCCAATAGCTGCTTCCATGAATCTTCTCCCATGGCTTGTAGAGCTGTAGCTAGGTAGGAAAGCTGCAATCATAACCCAGTCGTGTCCAAAATTCTATAGTTGCTGATTTTGAGCGCTGAATTTGCTCGCCGCCGACGCCGGCCTCCGACAGCACGGTTAACTCTGGAGCTGTGCACTCCAGTCCGGCAATGGAGGACAGTAAGCTGGTGGGTGCCCGGTGTTCTTGGTTGTCCTTGCTGTATGTGGACCGTGCCATTGATGCCGGTAGGGCAGATCGCTCGTCTGCTGTCCATCGAGAGAAGAAAAGTCTGTGACGGAATCAAATGTAGGTGTGTACTGTAATTAGTACTGCTACTTTGCCTTTTCTCCTGAGATAAGCTAGGAGTATTGTTCAAGGCTCATGGTGATGGCCCATGGGGTGGTTGGATCAAGTATTTCCTGCTCTTCAACTCAGCAGGAGAGATGGAAATACTAATGCAAACGAGTGAATGAATGAATCTGACCTCTTTATTACGAGTACTACTAGTACTAATCCATGTTTGCTGTTTGCTTCTGAACCTTTTATCCTCAACAAAAATGATGCGCCATTTTTATACGGATCAATCATTCGACTACTCCATGCTGCCCGTTGCTGTACCATTACAGTACACGTCGCAGTTTGGATTGGCATTTGGCAAGCTGTTCGAATCTCACAGGAGCCGGGTTTGGCGCCGTGTCAAGAGCTTCTATGCGTTTTCAATGCGCGGGCGCTCATCAATGGGGCTCGCTGCTGTCGGTTGCGCGATGGATACGACAGTGGCACGAGGGTTTTGTTTACTGGAGTGATTAGATTGGACAGCAGCAAGTGTATGGGGGGTTTGTCTCGGCCAGCGCGTCGCCTTTCGGTTCAGGCGCTTTGGAGGTTGGATTTCGAGTTGTTCGCATCGAAGAGGTCATGTGGAGATGGAAACCAGAGCAGTGTTGTGTTGCGACCGTGTTTTGAGCTGTTGTTTCTACGATGCCATCTGGGGTCTCTGGTGTTCCAGATGCTTGGGATGGGTTTGGTTCGGTGTAGGAGCCCGTGCTGGAGTGACCCTGAAGTCTCCGTGGCACGCCGTGCTGTCTCTCGGCGAATCTGTTGTGCTTGGCGCCGCTGCGGAACCGAGAAGGCGTTGTGGTGTGGGCTGCTCGTTGAACATGGGCCGTGTCTGTTCGGCGTTGGGCTGAGATTGATCCAGAACGCCATGCGGGCCATGTTGTATGGGCCACCACAATGGCCACCGGTGTCCTGACACGAGGTCCAGAACTGGGGGAAGATTTCTACTGGGCCGAGCAGGCGATCACGCATGCCGCGGAGCTAGCTGAGACCGCGACAGCCTCTCCCGCCCGCGCGCGCGCACGAACTCCCCGCATCGCGCGCCTTTCCCCTGCGAATTCGTGCACTCGCGAGTCGCGAGCGTCTCGCTCGCTCTTCACCGGTCCACGGTCCTCTCGCTGCCATGCACTGATGCACCGGGCGCACGCAGCGCCGGGCCTTGCTCGCATCGCATCGCAGGAGTAGTAGTGTGGTAGACGACGCGGATTGGTTGGGCGCGTTCAATCACCAACTGACAAAGGCTGCGGCGAGCCTGCCACACCTTTCGCCGCGAATCTTTCCGTTCACGTCGCCTCCCTTTCTCCTCTTCGGCTCTCCGCCCCTCTCCGCACGCAGCCACGAAACGGCAATCGCGAAAGCTCGCCGGTCACCGCTCCTCCTCCTGGCCTTCTCTCCTCAAAAACCCTAGCTCCTCCGCCTCTTCTACTAGTCCTAGTCCTCTCCTCTCCTCTCTCTCTCTCTCTCTCTCTCTCCCCCCATCTCCCGGAGCTCGCACCAAGCAGCTGTGCGGCGTCATCTGAGCGAGCTCGAATGGGGCCTCCTCTTCTGCCGTCGACGTCGTGGGTGATCCTGAGCCGGGAGGTGTACGCGTGCGGCGACGGCGACGGCGGCGGCGGCGGGATCCCCCTACCGGAGGGCGCCGACCTCGCCCTCGAGCTCGCCGCGCCGCCGCGCGTCTCGAAGCTCGCCGTGTCCCGGCGCATCACGCCGGCCAAGGTGAGCCCCTTTGCCAAGTGGAAGTCCTTCGTCATCGCGATCGACCCCTCTGCGGGGCTCGTCCTCCTCCTCGCGCCGCCGCCCCCAGGACCTGGTCCCGGTGAGCTGCGGTCCTTCACCGACGCCGACGGCAAGGTGCACACGTACCACGTCACCACCATGCCGACCCAGCGCTACTTCGTCTGCGACATCGCCGCCCGCACCGCCTACTACCTCCCCGACCCTGAGGGATGCGTCTTCAACAACGATCTGAGCATCATCGCCGCGCCAGGAGGTGGGGGAAAGTACCTGGTCGTCGAGTTCAAGTTCATCGTTGGCGGCGACAAGGCCACCCTCCTCTGCTTCTCGTCCGAGACCGGCCTGTGGGAGAAGAAGCCCGTCAACAACCCCCTGCCCCGCTGGATCTGGAGATGCTTCGACGTCGGTTCCTACGCCGGCAAGCTCTACTGGGTGGACACCGCGGCGGGCCTCCTCTTCTGCGACCCGTTCGTCGACGAGCCGCACATGGAGTACGTCCCGCTCCCCAGGGTCGAGCTCCCGCCAGAACACGACGAGGACTGCCACGGCTGCGACTACTGCGCCGAGAGAGCGTTCGTCTCCCGCCGCTGCGTGCGGCTGAGCGACGGCAAGTTCAGGTGCGTGGACATAGGCTCTGCAAGCGACGGTGCCGGTGCTACTACCAAGGTCTCCATGCACACGCTGGTTGATCCAGGGAGGCAGGGACCAAGGTGTGGACGCTTGAGTACGCCGTGAGCTTCGCCGACCTCTGGGCCAGCGAGAGCTACAAGGCGGCTGGGCTGCCGGAGAAGGCCCCGGTGCTCGCGCTCGTCCACCCCAAGAACCCCGACGTGGTGTACTTCTTCGTGGAGGACCAGCTCGTCGGGGAAGAAAATTTGGTAAGACTGAAGTCTTACGCTCCTGCGAAAGACTTAATCTCTTGTGCGACACGTGTCCTGTCACAATCTCAAAGCAGATAACTCCCTCAAACCTCCTTAACGATACGGCACGTCGTCGTTAGCACTTAGCACACGAGAAGACGACGGGCATGGCGCAGCTGCGGGGAGATGGACGAGCACGATGAGAGATATGACTCCTCGATGGAGTGCTGACGGCCCGACGCCGGTGATGCCTGAGGAACAATAGTGGTGGCGGTGAAAGCCCCGACGCCGGTGGCCCTGCGGTAGCTAGGGTAGCGACATGAGGCTGAAGCTCCCACGCCGGCGATGCCTGAGGGACAGTGCATGGTGGCATATGCCGCGGCTGCGGCAGCGGCCTAAGACATTGAACGATACGGCAATGATTCCTAACAGTTGCATCTGCACCATACATACAGTGAGCTCATATGGTGATTAGATAAATTAAGTACAGAGCTCTACTATTGAAGCTCCGATAATAAACTTGACTATTGGTGATTATATAAATTGGGAATTAAGATAACAAGCTCCAACAGTGAAGTAGAACAAGAAGAACAAACTTGAGCACTCAGTTCAGAATTTCATCAGATTAGATTAGAAGATGTCTTATAATATCCATATGCAAAAACACAAAATAACAAGACAACAGAACTTGCAGAGAAGCTGATGCTTGTGTCTGACAAAGTGAAAACTCAAAATGGTTCTAACTCATCGGCGCCGGGCCGCCAGCACTCCATGGAGGAGCACCGGTTCATCTCCCGCGCCGCGCTCGTCCATCTCCCCGTAGCCGCGCGCGCTGCGTCTGTCTTCTCGCGTGCTAACGGCGTTAGGTTGTATCGTTAAGAGGGTTTGAGGGAGTTATCTGCTTTGAGATTGTAACAGAACACGTGTCGCACAAGAGATTAAGTTTTTCGCGGGAGCGTAAGACTTCAGTCTCACCAAATTTTCTTCCGCTCGTCGGCGTCGACCTGCGCGCGAAGGAGGTCCTGGAGTATGAGACCCACAAGATGACCGTGCCGGAGAACGCCCGTGTGTTTCCTTACGGCCTTCTTCCAATGGTGCTCCCGCCCGCGCTCTCCGCAGGTAATTGTTTCGTGCGCTCAACACTTCCTTGATACTACTAGTGCTCATCTTGTCAATGTTCTTAAATCTGCTAATTAGAACGGGACATAGTACTAGGGTAGTGTGGTTTCAACTTTCAAGTACTGCTCCTATTGGTCGTGTAGTGACAGTATTGAGCAACTTTATACCAGTATGTCCTAGCTATTATGTCCGCTTTGCGCGCATTTGATCTCATGGTTTGATTGGCTAGTTTTTGTGTTCAGTGTTCCATGTTGATTGATGTGTCTGTGCCGTGTGTATATAAGACTGCTTTTCATGGTACCGACCTGTTGTGAATTCTGAGCAGTATGCGCGTTCAGTAAATTTTGATGAATTGGTGTGTTCAGTTTGCGTTTAATCCCAAATAATTGGAGTTCATTTGAGTTTCTTGCCTACCTATTTGGCCATTCATATGTTGATCTTGATGGTTCCTGAAATTCATTAAATTTTGACAAATTTGGTCTAGAACTTTTATTTATGGTGTTTGTTTGCATAAACATTTGCACATATATATATGCATTACTCGGTATGATAAAAAGTTCAGTTCTGCTGCTTAATTCATACCCACTGTCCGCATGAACCGTGTAATATGTGTCATGTATAATTACGCATCTTGCATCCATACGCTGAAATTGCAATACATTCATTTTGTTCATGTAAAGAACATTTATGTTGCCCTGAATTTTTCTGAATGTACTAACAAGGTGGTAAGACACTAAGACCTATCACTGAGAGCAATATGCACAATTGTACACATGGTATTGAAGATGGATACATATAAAAACATCAATTCATGTTTTCTTTTACATTCATCACTTAAACCTTCCTGCTAGTAGTTTCTTTTGCTGTATCCTGTTATTCCTGACATTTGCACCAACTTCTTGCAGCAGTCTCAGATTATTATTTCCTCTTGCTCTTCATATTCTCTTATTCATATATGTGAATATTATTTCCTGATAACCATATGGCACTTTTTAGGGCAAGATTATTACCACTTCAATTCCTATCACTCAAATCAAGTTGTTCTATCAGTTATCGCTTCCTCTTCTTTTTATCCTATAATAACAGAAATTTGTGTAGTTTTTATCAAACCATGCAAATGCACTTTTAGGGCAAGATTATTAGTACCACTTCCTGTCACTCAAACATGCATGTTCGTTAGTATTTTGACTAACTTGTGTTTTCTTTGATTAAAGGTTTGTCTAAGGAGGGTGCTACCTCTGCGTGTGATAACCAGTTGGATGTAGGCATTTTGGATCTTTCAAATGTTCGCATTTTGGAGTTCTCTTCGCCTGCCTCTTGAGAATGACTGTAGAATGCTGCTATTCCTTTTCATGATTTGTTATGCTTATGTCGGATAATGTTGCACTTATTGCGGTAGTACTCGAGTAGTATGTTAATAGCATGCCTGGATAATTAAATTAACTTTGCAGGTTTAATTTGTCTTTTTGTTATGCTCCTCTTGATTATTGTTTCTGCTGTTGCATCCTCAAAGTTGGAACCTGGAATCAACTTTGAGTGAAAATCACTCAGTACTTGTCAAGTTGCCCTGCCTGCACACATGGTCTCCATTTCCAGCTCTTCTTTTTGATCCCCAACAAGGCAGGTTCCCGTGTAGTTCAGAAAAAAAATTGCAAGCCACAAATTCATCAATCTACATCTTGACAATAAGAGATAAACTGTTCTGATTTTTTTTTAAAAAAAATACTAAACGCTCCTAAAAAACAGATTACGAAAACATTAGATTGTTCACTAAGGCATGCATTTGTTTGAATTTTTCTGGAGTGGTTATTGTATCCGGTGAAGAAGTATTTTTCATATCATACTCCCTCCGTCCCATAATATAAGAGATTTTTAAGTTTTTGTTTGCAACGTTTGACCACTCATCTTATTCAAAATTTTTTGAAATTATTATTTATTTTATTTATGACTTACTTTATTATCCACAGTATTTTAAGCACAACTTTTCATTTTTTATATTTAAAAAAATTTTGAATAAGACGAGTGATCAAACGTAACAAGTAAAAACTCAAAATCCCTTATATTGTGGGACGGAGGGAGTACGAAGTAATTCTCATTGCAGTATGTTATTAAGAAATCTTAAGGGTTAAGCTATGCTATGCCTACTGCCTAGTAGAAAGTATTTTGTTCGTGTCACGTTGCCTGCGACCACATGCATCTCATTTGGTTTTTGTTCGTGGACCTAGCTAGCGGAAGCTTTCGTGCGCTGCTCATTTGTGTTCAGCTGGTCGAAGCAGAGCGGCCGCTGGCGTGGCAGTGTTGCTGCCTGCCGCGACGTCCCACTCACGTAGCCGACTAGCTCGGTGCGCAGGAAGCAGCTCGGCACGCCGGCACCGGCAAAGCTCATGTGGCTACACGAGTCACGTCTCGCTCGGCTCACGCACGCACGAATGCACGATCGAACGAACGAACGAACTCTTTTCGCACCGCCCCGACGCGCCTGATTCCCCACGCTGCCACACACCGGTCGGACTAGGTTGCATCGCGCGCAGGAGCGTAGCGTAGACACGAGCTGGTCGGGCGTTTCGCCGCTGCCTTTCGACGACTTGCTTTCTCTGCAGACACCAAAACGGCAACTGCCAAAAAGAAAAAGAGAACGATCACCAATCCTCCTCTCCAGCGCTGCACGCCGGCCTCTCTACCCTCTCCACAGCACCACGCGAGAAAAACCCACGCGGATTGATTCAAACTCGTATTACCAATCCTCCTCGCCATCTCTCTTCGTCGAATCGATTTCCTCTGTTAGCTACTCTAACTAAGAACACACAAACTTTCTCAAGAACTGATATCGTCTACTAATCCGACAGGATTGGCACCGCCGCCGCCATCACCGCCTTCTTTCTTACCGAGTGAAACAGAATATTACAGAGTTAGTTATATCGCTCTCTCACCAATTCACACTCCACATGCAACTCACACCCTTACAGCTGGCCTGGGCCTTAAGCCCACTTTGGTCCAAACACCCTTGGATTACGTTTAATCATTCTTGCTGGCCTGTCCTTGGAAGTCTGCTTGACACCCTCCTTCAGAGCAGCACCTTGTAGCAGATCAGGTACTCCAGCAGAGCTGACAATCCCCTCCCCTTGAGACAAGGCTTGCCCCCAAGCCGGAGCACCAGGAAAACGCTGTTGCAGCTCCACATGATCTTCCAAGGTTTCCTGTCCAGCAACATCACCAGACCATCGAACTAAAACTTGTGGAACCACAGAGTTACCTCGATGAGACTGACGACTGTCAAGCACAGCCACCGGCACCTTCAGATGAGATAAGGCAGGAAGCTGAGGTTGAACAGAAGGAGAGAATCCAACAGCAGATTTAAGTTGAGAAACATGAAAAACAGGATGAATGGTGCTATCAGGAGGTAACTGTAACTTGTATGCCACTAACCCAACTTTACTCAGGATCTGGAAAGGCCCAAAATAACGAAAGCACAACTTGTGATTAGCTCTCCTAGCGACTGAAGATTGCACATAAGGCTGAAGCTTGAGAAAAACCCAATCACCCACTGAAAATTCCCAAAAGCTTCTCTTCTTGTCGGCATACTGTTTCATTTGTTGTTGAGCTCTGCCCAAGTGCTGCTTCAACAATTGAGTCATCAACCTTCGCTCTGTGAGCCATTCAGTCAAATCAGGGATACTACAAGCATCTTCACGAATACCAAAATGACCAGGAGGATAGCCATACAACACTTCAAAAGGGGTCTTTGACAAAGCTGAATGATAAGAAGTATTAAACCAGAACTCAGCAAGATATAACCAAGAGCTCCATTTGGTAGGCACAACATGAACAAAACAGCGTAAATAAATTTCCAGACATTGATTCACACGTTCCATTTGACCATCTGTTTGTGGGTGATAAGCCGTACTGAGATGCAACTGAGTACCAGAACGAGTAAATAACTAATCCCAAAACTGACTGGTGAAGATCTTATCTCTATCAGAAATTATCACAGAAGGCAAACCATGCAACTTATACACATTACACATAAAAGCTTGGGACACATCCACAGCAGAAAATGGATGAGATAGAGGAACAAAGTGAGAGTACTTGGAGAACTTATCAACCACCACCAAAATACAGTCAAATCGACCAGATTTAGGTAAACCTTCTATAAAATCCATAGAAATAATTTGCCATGCACCATCAGGGACTGGAAGAGGTTGTAATAAACCTGGATACTTGGATCTGTCAGGTTTAGCTTGCAAACAGATTTGACAGCCTTTAATCGAACGCTGAATCTGTTGTTTCATGCGAGGCCAAGCAAACAAAGCTTTGATCCGCTGATAAGTAATAGGAAAGCCAGAATGACCACCCATAGGACTGTGATGAAGAGCAGCAATAACTTTATTTTGCATCTCAAGATTGTTACCCAGCCATACCCTGCCTTTATATTTCAACACACCATTGCATAAAGAAAAAGGTGGTCGAGCATTGGCCTTCAGAGAAAGATCAGTCAAAAGTTGGGCAGAGAAGTTATCCTCAAGATAACCATCAGTGACTTCCTTAAGCCACACAGGAGCACAGCTAGAAACCAATTGCAATTCACTGGAGTCATCATTATATTTCCTAGAAAGGGCATCAGCTGCTGAATTGCTGGACCCTTTCCTATAACAAATCTTAAACTGCAACCCTAACAGTTTAGTAAAAGCTTTGTGTTACCAAGGAGTATTTAATCTTTGTTCATTGAGATGCATAAGGCTATGGTGATCAGTTAATATAACAAATTCACCTTGCTGCAGATAAGATCTCCAATGATCAACAGCCAGTAAAATAGCCAAATACTCTTTCTCATAGGCAGATAATCCTTTAGTCTTAACACCCAAAGCCTTGCTAACAAAAGCAATTGGATGACCCTGCTGAGATAAAACTACCCCAATGCCCCCATCACTAGCATCTGTCTCCACAATGAAAGGCAAAGAGAAATCTGGCAAGGCTAGGACAGGTGCTGAAACTAAAGCTTGCTTCAAGGACAGAAAAGCCTGGTCAGCTGCAGGGGACCAAACAAAGGGAACATCCTTTCTCAGCAGTTGAGTTAAGGGCTTACTAATGATGCCAAAATTTTTAACAAATTTTCTGTAATACCCAGCTAAACCCAAGAAACCCCTTAATTTCTTAACAGTTGTGGGCACTTTCCAATTGACAACCTCTTCAATCTTAGACTGATCAGTAGTAACTCCCTTGTCACTGATGATGTGACCTAAGTAAGAAAGCTGAGGCTGA